CGCGTTCAGTTCACAAACACTCTCACACACCTTACTTCCAGGTCCTACACATTACATTCCTTTTAGTCCTCTAGTCCTGAGACTCAGCTTCTCAATCTTTCTGTCTCTATTTTCAGAATAATGATGCTGTCTGTCCTTCGGCATACCAAAACACCTGTCAAGTTCTGGTTCTCAAGAATTACCTCTCCCCATCTTTCAAGTACTTTCCTAGCTTCATGACTACAGACGAGCATTCTGTTTTTCCTGCTTATTCAAAATAATGCGATCCCAGGTCTTCAGAGATTACTTAATTCAAAGTAAAGAAAATGTCTGTAGGTTGTTCCTGGCTCTGTGATGGCATGTGTTAATCTCAGGTTTCGTGTGTCAGGGGTGAAAATGCATTCAGTGCCCTCTGAGTTTGAGTCACAAAAATAGCAATATATAAAGCAGCAGAGGGAGGTGAAGCCAGACAACTGCATTTCGTTTGATGTTAATGAATCTTTTATGTGAATAAAGTTTCATTTGTATTGTATTGCCTTATCTGCCTTTTCACGCTTGTCATAATTAGGCGGTCACTGCCTGTCTGCTAGGCCACAAAAAAGGAACCAGCATCATCTGTTTTCTTCTGTGCAAGATTGTTTCATCTGACACTGGCATTTAACACTTTCCTCTCCAAATAAATCTAATTCTCAATTGTCTGTAATGAAGGCAATACCCCACAGTATAGCACTCTGTTGCACAATGCTTTGCATAAAATTTAAGTGCAGTATAGTTGATTGAATTTAGCTAATTTTGCAAATGGTTAGTCACACATGAAAACATGCTCTTGTATTTGATTTTTTTGACCACTGGTGTTTTGTTTTCAATGCGGTTAGGAGACCATATCTCACATGGCAGAGTCGTATGGCTTCCAATATGAATTAGTGCAGTACAAGTGGCCCGTTGGCTCCACCAGCAGACTGAAGAAGCAAACGCATTATCTGGGGATACAAGATCCTTTTCCTGGATGTTCTGTTCCCCTTGGCTGTGGACAAGATCATCTTTGTGGATGCCGACCAGGTAAGGATCAAATTGGACCGACAGGAAAGAGCAATGTGTCATTGTGTGGCTGAAAGTGAGAGAGTTGTCTGGATCAGTCTCAGTGCTGGTGTGAAGATTGGATGAGATTTTAAACACTGTTTGTCGTCAATCCTCTCTACCTTTACCGATGTTCTTTGCTCTCTCTCGTCAGATAGTTCGGGCTGATCTAAGGAGTTGAGGGATTTAAACCTGGAAGGTGCTCCTTATGGGTTCACACCGTTTGTTGATAGCCGCCGAGAGATGGAAGGCTATCGCTTTTTGGAAAACGGGCTATTTGGGCCTCACATCTGGGACAACAGAAAAATACCACATCAGGTACACTTCCATAGCAAACTGTGAAATGTATTATATGCAGCAACAACTGCGCTGAAACCCTGGTAAGGAATTCTGATAATATACTATATTTGTGTGTAGTTATTTTAAACATCATCTTATTCAGGTAATAGAATTTAACCAATCCACCAGAAGTTTCTTGATTGTTAGATAATTAAAATTATCCTCCCCAGATTCCCCTGCACAAGCTGGATCAAATGATATTTGAATTCTACCATATCGCGATCATACACTATTTGAATTTAAAAGTTCAAAGCTGTTTTACTCATCAATTATAGTTACATATTCTAACAGCTATATTTTAGTATCTAGTATTTAGTATTTATTATATACAAACCATGATACATATTAAATCAAGCACTAGAGAAGTCATGACTATTAATCAGCGTCTTGCTGGAGGTATGGGAGTTCTACATCTGTCAGTGTGATGGCTGATCAGATGGCAGAGCTGCCAGGGAGACTTTCTACTTTACTTCTACCTCACCACTGCACTGGCTTGATGAGATGGAAATGAGACAGAGGGAAAGACAGAGAAAGAGAAGAAGATAGAGAAAGAAATAAGGA